TAAAGCACATATCAATTCGATCAGACACGTCCAAGAGCTCAATAGCCATTGAACTAATGGTTGGCTAATGGTTGCCCAGGACTAGAATCTTAAACCAAAGAAGACACTTAGGACACAGCATGGCCAAATCCAAATCCTGGTCCTTAGAATGAAATCTGCACATCGTGGGGAATGCGCAAGTGTTCAGTATCATCATCCTTGCTTCACGGTGATTAAGGCTGGGTTTACTAGTCAGAGAGCCATAGCCAGATCCTTCTTCCCAGAAAGATTCGCAGCCTTGACTGAACAGCTGTTTCCTTTCCCGCATGTTTTCCTTCTCTCTTCCTCGTTTACAACTCTTCTATTAATAAAATTTTAAAATATCAAAAAACAACTTTTATTTTACATTCAGGAGTATATGTGCAGGTTTGTTACAGGGGTGAACTCATATCTTGGGGGTTTGTTGTACAGATTATTTCGTCACCCAGTTACTAAGCCCAATAGTTTTGTTTGGTTTTTTTGTTTTGTTTGGTTTCAGACCGAGTCTCACTCTGTCACCCAGGATGGAGTGCAGTGGCGTGAACTCGGCTCACTGCAACCTCTGCTTCCCCAGTTTAAGCAATTCTCCTCTCTCGGTCTCCTGAATAGCTGGGATTACAGGTACGCACAACCACACTTGCCTAATTTTTGTACTTTTACTAGAGACTGGGTTTCACCATGTTGGCCAGGCTGGTCTTGAACTCCTGACCTCAAATGATCTCCCTGCCTCGGTCTCCCAACATGCTAAGATTACAGGTGGGAACCACCATGCCTGACCCAATAGTTATTTTTTTCTAATCCTCTCCCTCTTCCTGCTTCCCACCTTCAAGTAGAGCCCAATGTCTGTTGTTTCCTTCTTTGTGTTTATGAGCTCTCATCCTTAAGCTCCCACTTATGTGAGAACATGCAGTATTTGGTCTTCTGTTCCTATGTTAGTTTGCTGAGAATAATGGACTCCAGCTCCATCCATATTCCCGCAAAATACATGATCTTGTTTTTTATGGTTTTTTATGGTATTCCATGGTGTATATGTGCCACATTTACTTTATCCAGTCTGTAACTGATGGGCATTCTCCAGTCTGTAATGATCCCAGTCTGTAATTGATGGGCATTTAGATGGATTCCATGTCTTTGCTATTGTGAATAGCGCTGCAATGAAAATTCACGTGCATGTGTCTTTAGGATAGAATGATCTATATTCCTCTGGGTATATACCCAGTAATGGGATTGCTGCATCAAATGATAGTTCTATTACTGGCGTCCAGGTTCTTGGCATTTTGAATGAAGAATCTGACAAAAAAGAAAAATAACCACATGCACACACACACAAAGCAACGAAAGAAAAGCACAGATTTATTGAAATGGAAGTACACTCCACAGAGTGGGGGCAGGCTCCAGTAACAGGCTCAAGAGCAATGGTGACAGAATTTTCCAGGGCTTATATACCCTCTAGAGGTTTCCCATTTGTTACTTGGTGTACACCCTATGCAGATGAAGAGGCTGCTTCCTGACATAGCTGATATGAAGTTACGAAGTTATTCACTTGGTCATAGAAAGTTGGGGTTTTGACTGGGTGTGGTGGCTCACACCTGGAATCCCAGAACTTTGGGAGGCTGAGACAGGCAGATCATTTGAGGTCAGGAGTTCAAGACCATCCTGGCTAACACGGTGAAACCCCATCTCTTCTAAAAATACAAAAGTTAGCTGGGTGTAGTGGTGCATGCCTGTAGTCCCAGCTACTCAGGTGGCTGAGGCAGGAAAATTGCTTGAACCCGGGAGGTGGAGGTTGCAGTGAGCCAAGATTACACCATTGCACTCCAGCCTGGGCGACAGAGCGAGACTCAGTCTTAAAAAAACACACACACAAAAATAAGAAAGTTGGAGTTTTGCTGTTTGATTTATAGGAAGTCCTTAGATTCCCTGCCTCCAGACCCTGTTCTCCTGCCTCAGCTCTGCTTTCAGCGCTTTGAGGAAGTGCCATATTGCTTTCCACGCAACTCTCCAATGACAACTTTTTTCTTTCTTTTCTATTTTTGGGGCAATTTTTAATGACATAAAATTCACATGACATAAAATTCAGCACTTTAAAATGTACAATTCAGTGACCTCATTTTCACAAGGTTGTACAATATAACTTTTATTTTAAATTTTTATTTATTTATTTTTAGACACGATTTCACTGTCACCCAGGCTGGAGTGCAGTGGCTCGATCTCAGCTCATTGCAGCCTCCACCTCCCAGGTTCAAGCGATTCTGCCTCAGCCTCCCAAGTAGCTGGGGTTACAGGCATGCACCACCACACTCAGCTAATTTTTCTATTTTTAGTGGAGATGGGGTTTTGCCATGTTGGCCAGGCTGGTCTCAAACTCCTGACCTCAAGTGATCTGCTTGCCTCGACCTCCCAAAGTGCTGGGATTACAGACATGAGCCACCATAGCTGGCCATACTACTATTTTAAATAGTGTAGAATATTTTCATCACTCCAAAAGGAAAATGGCAGATTACCCATTAGCACTCTGCCATCACCCACCCCACTCCAGGCTCTGGCAACCATTAATCTACTTTTTTTTTTTTTTTTTGAGGCAGAGTCTTGCTCTGTCACCCAGGCTGCGAAATCAGCTCACTGCAACCACTGCCTCCCAGGTTCAAGTAATTCTCCTGCCTCAGCCTCCTAAGTAGGAGGGATTACAGGCACCTGCCACCACATCTGACTAATTTTTGTTTAGAGACAGGGTTTCACCGTGTTGGCCAGGCTGGTGACCTCAGGTGATCTGCCCTCCTTGGCCTCCAAAAGCGCTAGGATTATAGCCGTGAGCCACCACACCCAGCCTCCATGTTAACCACTCTTTCTGACTTCAAATAACTGATTATCCCCATGAACTTGTGGATTTGTTTTTCCTCTTCATCCACGAAATTCTCTAGAGAAGTCTCTCTTGTCATCTCTTGGCTGTGCTTTCTATCTCGCCAATTTTCTTTCTCCAAAGAGCTTCCTCTGCAAAGATGCTTTGTATATGAAGACCATTTGGGGTTTGCATCAAGACCAAGTTTCACAACCTAAAAGTAGGTCACAAAGCTTCCTTGCCTCTATCCTCTGCAAATTTGTAAACTCTTCAGCTGATCCAATTTCTCTCTTTAGCCTTCATATATATATATACATATATATATATATATATATATATATATATATTTTTTTTTTTTTTAATTGAGACAGTCTAGCTCTGTCACCCAGGGTAGAGTGCAGTGACACCATCCTGGCTCACTGCAAACTCCCCCTCACAGGCTCAAGCAATTCTCCCTCCTCAGCCTCCAGAGTAGCTGGGATTACAGGCATGAGCCACCACGCCCAGCTGATTTTTTGTATTTTTAGTAGAGACAGGGTTTTGCCATGTTGGCCAGGCTGTTCTCAAACTCCTGACCTCAAAAGATCTGCCCGCCTTCGCCTCTCAAAGTGCTGGCGTTACAGGCGGGAGCCACTGCACCTGGCCAATTCTATTTTCAATTTTGTTGAAGAGGCGCTATACCATTTTCCACAGGGGCTGCACCATGTTATATTCCCACTGGCAATTCACAAAGATTCCAATTTGTCCACATCCTCACCAAACACTGCTATTTTGTTTTTAGTTTTTGTTTTTATATAGTACTGAAAGAGTATCCCTAATCCAAATATCTGACCTTCATAAGTTACAAAACCAGAACTTGAGGGCCATCATGGTGTTCAGAGAAAACACTCATTGGAGTATTTCAGACAGGATTTTGGGTTTAGGGCTGCTCAACCAGTAAAGCAAATATTTCAAAGTAAAAAAAGAAAAACAAAAAAACAAAACTGAAATCTGAAACATTTCCAGTCCCAAGCATTTCAGATAAGAGATCCTCAAACTGTAGCCCTGATGATGAGTGTGAGGCATCTTCTCGGAAGTCTTGCACACTCTCTTTTATCTGCTTTGATCTGTCCTAAGTGTCCTACCATTTTGAAAGCATAATGAATTTTATCGGTGTTCATTTCTGATGAGAGGCAGTCCAGGCAGTGGAAAGGGCATGATCCACGGTCCCACAAGCCCTGGCTTCTGACCCAGGTCACTGTGAGACCCTGAGCAAGCAAGAACTTGCTCCAGGCCTCAGTTTCCTTGGTCTCTGGGGGAAGCCAGCATGATAATCAGCCATGCTCCAGCCCCTCAGCTGAAACTCAGGCCCGGATGCATTGTAAATGGATTTCCTCTTCCACATGTGTGCTGCTGAATTCGATTTTTCTTCCTTCCTTCCTTCTTTCCTTCCCATTTCCTTCCCTCCTTTCTATTCCCTTCCTTTTCCTTTCCTTCCTTCTCTCCTTACCTCCCTTTCTCCCTCTCTCCCTCCCTTCTTTCCTTCCTTCATTCCTTCCTTTTTTCTCTCCCTTCCTCCCTCCCTCCCTCCTTCCTACCTTCCCATTCCCTTACCTCCTTCCTTCCCTCCCTTCCATTCCCTTTCCTTTCCTTCCCTTTCTCCCTCTCTCCCTCCCTTCTTTCCTTCCTTCATTCCTTCCTTTTTTCTCTCCCTTCCTCCCTCCCTCCCTCCTTCCTACCTTCCCATTCCCTTACCTCCTTCCTTCCCTCCCATCCAATCCCATTCCAATACTTCCCTACCACCCGTCCTTTTTTTTACCTTTTTGAGACGGGGTCTCACTGTGTTGCTCAGGCTGGAATGCAATGGTGCAAGCACACCTCACTGCAGCCTCTGACTCCAGGGCTCAAGTGATCCTTCCATTTAAGCCTCCCAAGTAGCTGGGACTGGGACTACCAGTGCGCCCCACCACAGCCGGCTCATGTTATTAATTCTTGGTAGAGACCGGGACTCGGTATGTTGCCCAGGCTGGTTTCGAACTCCTGGCCTCAAGTGATCCTCCCACCTCAGCCTCCCAAAGGACTGGGATTACAGACATGAGTCACCGCCCCCAGGCTCTTCTCCCTTTTGACTCATTTTGAGGCCGCTGTCGCAGGGTACAAGACCTTGGGCGTCGGGGGCCGGGAGCGGGGGTTGTCTCCTAGGCTAGGGAACCACCGAGATGCCGGGCCTCCGAAGTCCTAGAGAGGGCTCTTCGGCCGCGGACGCCGTCTGCACTTCCGGCCTTTGTGAGCAGTGGCTACAGCGGCCTGCGGCTGTCAGTGCTGTTTGTTCCTACACGCGGCTGGGTGAGGGATTTCTAGGGACTCCCAGCGAGAAGCATCTGTCCCCTAGGCACGCAGCGCCAGTCTCTCTCCGGTCCCCCTTTTTTCCCCGAGCCAGCTGGGAAGACTAAAAGGGCAGGGGCTAGGGGCGGTCCATAGTTCGACCCCTCTTTTCTGGCACCCTTGGAACCTGCAGGCTGCCGATTTCCGGCCGACCCGGCTCCCATCAAAATCCGTGCTGCTGTCCGTGGCAGCTCCTTTTGAAAATAGCCTGGTAGAAAGTCCGGGTTGTTGAACTGGAAAACGCATTCTGCATCCCTTGACTTGCAGTAGACGTCACATGAAGATCAAAACAAGAGTTTTGCCTTTCCCAGGATGGGACACTCCAGCATAAGGGTACCGGTACTGACGTGTGTTCTCCGTTTACTCTGAGATAGCTTATGAGAGAGATGCAGTGAAAAGCTTGTGGGCAGGGCTCAGGGAAGAGTTCCACAAAGTGGCGTGTATTCAAAGGAGGGTAGGAATTGGATACGTGGACGACATGCTCCACCATCCAAGAAGAACATTCCAGATGGAGTTCAGACAAAAGCACAAAGTTCGAAAAGTGAGAAGTGCAGAGAAAGTGGTAAATATTTCGACACCATCCTGATAAATAGTTGTTTGTGGGGTTTTGTTGGGGGGAGTGGGGGCAGTCTGGCTCTATTGCCTAGGTTGGAGTGCAGTGGCGCGATCACGGCTCACGGCAACCTCCGCCTCCCGGGTTCAAGCAATTCGCCTGCCTCAGCCTACCGAGTAGCTGGAATTACAGGCGCCCTCCACCTCACCCAGCTAATATTTGTATTTTTAGTAGAGACAGGGATTCGTCATGTTGGCCAGGCTGGTCTCAAACTCCTGACCTCAGCCTCCCAAAGTGTTGGGATTCCAGGTGTAATCCACCGTGCCCAGCCCCATTCTGGTAACTGTTTATTCTGGGTCGGAGAGTGGTGATTAAGGAATGTGTGACCACAGACCCCCTCTGCTAAGAATAGCCAAGCCTCTTAAAAAATAAAAGTTAAAACCTCTGGATCTGTTTTCTAGAAATAGTATAGCAGAACTGACTGCCACTTACCAATTTATTTAACCTTTCTGACTTTCAAATCCCTGATTTCTAGGGGGACAGCAATAGTATCTTGTAATAGAGAGGAACAGATGAGGTTAATTTGTATAAAGCATCCACCACAGTGTGTGTGGCAGGCAGTAGTAATAGGTCGGAGGTTTGTCATTGTTTTTACTATGAATAAGCATTAAAAATGTAATGTATCCCTTCCCATTATGGAGCCTCCTTCTCTGTACAGTAAGCAATGTGGGAAGAGGAAGAAAAGCAGTAAATTCCAGAAAGTGATAAGAAAGATGTATGTGGAACTGATAGAAATCTATTCAATCCTCACAAAATTTGGGACATCATAATCTCTCTTATACCCATAAAACATCTTGTAGCATTTTTATCTGAGTGAAAGCAAGCATGATAATATATATTTTTAAAAATAAATATACTTTGTAAATCACTTTTTTTTTTTTTTTTTTTTTTTTGAGACAGGGTCTGGATCTGTTGCCCAGGCTGGAGTGCTGTGGCATGATCTTGGCTGACTGCAGCCTCTGCCTCCCAAAGTGCTGGGATTACAGATGTGAGCCACCACGCCTGGCCCTTTCTTTCTTTTGTCTTTGGATCTGTCTTTGTGGAGAGGGGACCAGATAGGTATTCTTTCCTATGACCAGTTATTAAACCCATGTTCCTTATTTTTCTGCTTCAAAGCCCCTGCCTGGCACTCAAAGCAAGCCCAAAGCTAATAGAGTTGGGAAAACTCAAAACTATATATATTTGCAATCAAAACTTCAAGAAAAAGCAGTAACAGTCCTCATTAAAGATGTTAGCACTGGCCAGGTGTGGTGGCTCACCCCTGTGTTCCTAACACTTTGGGAGACCAAGGCAGGAGAATGGCTTGAGCCCAGGAGTTCAAGACCAGCCTGAGCAACATGGTAAAACCTCATCGCCACCAAAAAATATATACAAAAATTAGCTGGGCATGGTGGCACATGCCTGTAGTCCCAGCTAGTCAGGAGGCTGAGATGGGAGGATTGCTTGAGCCCAGGAGTTTGAGGCTGCAGTGAGCCATGATCACTCCACTGAACTCCAGCCTGGGCAATGGAGGAAGATGCTATCTCAAAAAAAAAAAAAAAAAAGATAGGAGCTTTCCTATCTTTTTGGACACATCTTCTCTGTCCATTCACATGTCTGTGTTGTAACTGAATCACAGGGTTCAGTCACTCGCAGTTTGCAGAGTCTGATTAACAAGAACAAGATGTGGTATAAAGTGACTTTTTATTCCAAAGCTGGCTTAGGGGAAGAAGTACAGGCTTCCTGCCTTAAGGGTGTCCCTTCAGGCCAGGTGCGGTGGCTCATGCCTATAATCCAAGAACTTTGGAGGCCAAGGCGGGCAGATCACCTGAGGTCGGGAGTTCAAGACCAGCCTGACCAACATGGTGAAACCCCGTCTTTAAAAAAAAAAATTTTTTTAAAAAAAGGGTCTCCCTTCAACTCTGGGGCAGAAAGCAGGGACTATTAAAAGGGGGCTTGTCATGAATGGCATGCAGGGGAGGGAGCAAGCAGGTCCACAAAACTCACTTTGGTGTCTTAACCAGGTCGTCTAGTTGGCACCTTCATGGGCAGAACTAGGTTGTAAAGGTGGCCAAAACTCCCCAGGTGGAAGAGAGTTTCAAGGCGGGCACCCTTTGGGTTGTAAATGGACTGTTGTCCTCGAGGTGGTCTCCTGGTAGGAGTGAGTGCCACTCTGGAGCTTCTCAGCGTGTAGTTAGATAAGCATACCCTGTTAGGAGTGTCTGGTGAAGGAAAAGTAAGAGGTTATAATTGCATTCCTAAAGAGCTCAGTAGGAAACGGAAATGGGGAGAAAGAGAAAAAAAGAAAGAAATAATGATAAAATAAAATAATAACTCATTCTATTTCTCTTAGATAATAGGTGTACTCAGTTACAATGTGGGGCTGTCAGGAGTCGACCTCAGGTCTGGGCATGGGCAGACTTTCTCCATTATGTGCTCTCCTTAGATGATCTGGTGGGAATAGGACTCCCAATTGTCAGTATGTGTAGCTTTTTTTTTTTCCTCTGTCACCCAGGCTGTAGTTCAGTGGCATGGTATCAGCTCACTGCAACCTCCACCTCCCTGCTTCAAGCAATTCTCCGGCCTCAGCCTCCCGAGTAGCTGGGATTACAGACGTGCACCACCACACCCAGGTAATTTTTGTCTTTTTAGTGGAGACAGGGTTTCATCATATTGTCCAGGCTGGTCTCGAACTCCTGACCTCAGGTGATCCACCTGCCTCAGCCTCCCAAAGTCCTGAGATTTCAGACGTGAGCCACTGCGCCCGTCCAGTATCTGTAGCTCTTATCCCTGGGTCAGTTTCTCCAGAGGAAAACCCTCTAGTCTCCTTCCTGAAAAGTCCAAGCCCAGCTGCCACTCTGTTCCAACAGCAGTAAGGACTTAACCTTTGAAAGGAGGAAGGCTAGGGCTGTCCACCCAAGGTGAGTCTGAAATCCTACACCCCTCAGGCCAGCAATCAGACCCTGCTGGCCTGAGGAATACCGACCACAGTTGAGGGTGTAGACGCTACAGAGAAAACAAAAAGATTAAATAGATATTTACTTCCTGAATGGTGAGACCCTCTCCTGGCATTTTGGTGCACATCTGTAATTCCAGCTACCCAGGAGGCTTGAGGTGGGAGGATCGCTTGAACCCAGGAGGCAGAGGTTGCAGTGAGCTGAGATTGTGCCACTGCCCTCAAGCCTGGGTGAGAGAGCAAGACTCCATCTCAAAAAAAAAACAAAAAACTAATTTTTTTCTGTAGACATAAGGGTCACTGGCTCTTTCTCCCTCATGCAGCCTCCAAGATATACCATGGAAATGTAGACATTTATGGATTGCCTTGGAATGGAAAAGGTAGTAACAGCAACTCCAGGAGTTCCTGCCAAGTTCTACCCCGAGTGGAACAAGTTGCTGATTGTTCCCTTCCCTGGATTTTAACCAAGGTGATAAATAAATACAGTGGGAGGGGATATCTGGGAGGCTTTGACTCCAGACCTTGAGCTTATTGAAGTCAGAAACTTTGTCCCTGAGCAATAAAAATAGTTTTTGGTTTTCTTTTTCTTCTTTTTTTCCCTCGGGTTCAAGCGATCCTCCTGTCTCAGCCTCCCAAGTAGGTGAGACTACAATGGCTTCATTTTTTATATTTTGTAGAAACAGGGTCTTGTTGGCTGGACGCGTGGCTCACGCCTGTAATCCCAACACTTTGGGAGGCCGAGGTGGGTGGATCACCTGAGGTTAGGAGTTGAAGACCAGCCTGACCAATGTGTTGAAACCCTGTCTCTACTAAAAATACAAAAATTAGCCGGGTGTGGTGATACATGCCTATAATCCCAGCTACTTGGGAGGTTGAGGCAGGAGAATCGTTTGAACCTGGGAAGCAGAGGTTGTAGTGAGCCAAGATCACACCATTGCACTCCAGAAAAGAAAGGAAGTATGGGAAGGAGGGAAGGAGGGAGAGAGGGAGGGGAGGGAGAGAAAAGCAAAGAAGAAACAGAGTCTTGCTTTGCTGCCCAGGCGAGTCTTGAACTCCTGGCTCAAGCAATCCTCCTACCTCAGCCTCCTGAAATGCTGAGATTACAAGCTTGAACCACCACCCTGACCTCACTTTTCTTAATTGCAGGGACAGGATGGGGGTTTGGAATACAAAAGAGCTGTGCCTGCTACTTACACATGCCTATTTTTGAGCAAGTCCATTCTGCAGTGAAGCCTTAATGTCTTTATCTCTAAAATGGGGATAATTGACCCTACCTTATTGGGTATTTGTATAGATAAATAACACATAAAAAGTCCCTTTCACATCAAGGGTGCTCAAAAAAATGGCAGATATTATCATTCTGATTTATCTAGACAAGGAAACTGAGACATTAAGGCACCATCCAAAGGACACACAGCTCATTAGGGGTAGGAGCAAGAATACGATTTGTTTTCTGGACTCTCTTGCTTCTACCCTGTACTACTTGAAGAAGAGGCTTTAGTTTTATTTATTTATTTGAAATGCGGTTTTGCTCTTGTCACCCAGACTAGAGTGCAATGGTGCCATCTTGGTTCACTGCAACCTCCACCTCCTGGGTTCAAGCGATTCTCCGGCCTCAGCCTCCCAAGTAGCTGGGATTACAGGTGTGAGCCACCATGCTCCACTCCAGTTCACCCCTTTTCTAACACCAGCCTCCCTGCTACTTTGTTTTCTGCTGCAGACAGCAGGCCCCCTCCTCTCATAGCCAGATCTGGGGCAAAGCTTACTTTTCTGTACTGCATGGTATAGGAGGTATTGGTGAGCACCACCCCTGCCCCACCTATTCCCTCCTCCCCACTCTTTCCCCAACCATCCCTGCCCCCAGTCTCACCCCCTCCAGATGCAGGCTTTCTTCCGCTGAGCAGAGCTGCTCTGCCAGGGCAGTTACAAAGATTCTTTGTAATGTGTTTACAGGAGGAGAGCCTGTGAATGGGGCCTGGCTGTACTGATGGGCCCACCAGGCCTGTTTACATAAGCAGAGAAGGAGCCAAAGCAGATGACCCTGTAGCTCAGGGACCTAGATTAAACACATAACCCAAGTCCAGAGCCCCATGCCCTAGCCGCCCAGTTTCTGGGCTACACCACCCAGAAGCAGCATGGAGGAGCCTCTTGACCCAGGGAGGGTTGTTGACTCGGCTGGGTGAGAGATGTTTGCACAGGGAGGGAGCTAGCAGGGCCATCTGGCTGTTCTCCTGTCAGCGCTGGGCCATTTGCAGGTCAAGCACCCTCAGGGTTCCAGGGCCCCTGGGAAGGCAGCCCCAGCCAATATCATTTGTTCTTTGGGGGAATCTCTAAAACATTATTATTTTTACATTTTTTTCCTCAAAGTAATTACACCCAACCCAAATAAACTGTGAAGTTTTATTTTACAAGGTGGTGAGAAATGCGGTTCTCCACATTTAAAACATGGCAGTGGCTGGCACCTAAAAGTCCTCTGCAGTTTACAAAGCATTGCCACCTCTACAATGTCATACCATCTTCAGGGTAGCTAAGTGGGTAGCTACTGCCAGAATCATCCCTATTTTATAGATGAGGGAGTCGAGACTTAGAGAGGTCAGGTCATTTGCACAAACCAAGTCCCAAACAAGATGCAGCGGCTGGAGAGTGACTCCAGATTTTACACCCCTTCTACTCTGACACTTTCCTCTTCGTTGGGCTGTAAAATAAGGCAAGAAGAGAGCTTGTGCCAACACATAATCGCCTTGCAGGTGGCTCCCAGTAGAGAGCATCACATCTCAGACATGCTGGAAGCAAAAGTGGTCAGCAACAAGGGGCACCTGGGGTTCCCCCAAGGACACCACCAGTGGGGCATTCCCTGCACCCCACTCAAAGCCTTCCGTGAAGAAGCCAGATGCAGTGGCTCACACCTGTAATCCCAGCACTTTAGGAGGCCGAGGCAGGTAGATTCCTGAGGTCAGGAGTTTGAGACCAGCCTGGTCAGCATGGTGAAACCTCATCTCTATTAAAGATACTAGTTAGCCGGGTGGGGCAGCTGGCACCCGTAATCCCAGCTACCGAGGAGGCTGAGGCATGAGAATTGCTTGAACCTGGGAGGCGGAGGTTGCAGTGAGCTGAGATCTTGCCATTGCACTCCAGCCTGGGTAACAGAGCAAGACTCTGTTGTTACCCCCACCCCCGCCCAAAAAAAAGAAATGGAAGAAAAAACCTTACATTGAGAGACTGAACCCCAACTGTGTGAAAATGCATGAAACATACACAGAGCATCCCACCACCGGCTGAAATCATACAGACAAGAAAGGGAACATGTTATAGAATCACAGAAACTTTCCTCTAATTTCCTTTGCTCTTGTCTCCTCTTGGGCTTTGTCTCCCCTGCATTCAAACCTGCACAATACCTGAGTCCCCATTAGTGCTCCAGCTACTTCCTTCAGTTCTTTATCCTCCCTTTTACAACCCAAAACACCAAACCTACCTGAAAGCCATCGTCATTCCATCTTTTTTTTTTTTTTTTGGAGATGGAGTCTTGCCCTGTTTCCCAGCCTGGAGTCCAGTGGCATGATCTTGGCTCATTCCAACCTCTATCTCCCAGGTTCAAGTGATTCTCCTGCCTCAGCCTCTTGAGTAGCTGGGATTACAGGCACGTGCCACCACACCTGGCTAATTTTTTTTTTGTTTTGTTTTTAGTAGAGATGGGGTTTCACCATGTTAACCAGGCTGGTCTCGAAATACTGACCTCAAGTGATCCACCAGCCTCAACCTCCAAAAGTGCTGGGATTATATGTGTGAGCCACTGCACTCAGCCTGTGTCTATTTATTTATTTTGAGACAGAGTCTCACTCTGTCGCCCAGGCTGGAGAACAGTGGCATGATCTCTCCACCTCCTGAGTTCAAGTGATTCTTGTGCCTCAGCCTCCCAAGTAGCAGAAATTACAAGCATGTGCCATGACACCTGACTAATTTTTTTGTATTTTAGTAGAGACAGGGTTTCACCTTGTTTGCCAGGCTGGTCTCGAACTCTTGACCTCAAGCGATCCAACCACCTCAGCCTCTCAAAATGCTGGGATCACAGATGTGAGCCACATCCCCGCCCCAACCCAATTTATTCCTTAGTGATCACTTTTCTGTAACAACTGTGTGACTGTGTTTTGCAACTTTTAAAATACTTTTTTTTTCTTTTGAGATGGAGTCTCACTCCATCATCAGGCTAGAGTACAGTGGTGCAATCTTGGCTCACTGCAACCTCTGCTTCCCAGGATCAAGTGATTCTCCTGCCTCAGCCTCCCAAGTAGTTGGGATTACAGGTGCGCGCCACTATGCCCAGCTAATTTTTCTATTTTTAGTAGAGACAGGGTTTCACCATGTTGGCCAGGATGGTGTTGATCTCATGACTTCGTGATCGCCCGCCTCAGCCTCCCAAAGCGCCGGCCCTTAAAATACTTTTATACACATGTATAGAGGTACCTTCATACAGAGTCTCATTTAGAAAACTTCACCTCCCCACAGGATCTGTGTTCGTTCGTTTCCTGCTTAAACAGCTAAAGGTGGCTTGTTTTTTTCTATCTTCATCTTCAATGTGCCTGAATTATTTCTGCTATCATGCTTTTAAAAACCAGCCTACATTGAGATCTTTCATTACCTTCCTAATAAAGTGCTATTTATAAGTTTTCTCTTTTTTATTATTATTATTATTTTTTTTTTTTTTGAGACAGAATTTCGTTCTTGTTGCTCAGGCTGGAATGCAACAGCACGATCTTGGCTCACTGCAACCTCTGCCTCTCGGGTTCAAGCAATTCTCCTGCTTCGCCCTCCTGAGTAGCTGGGATTACAAACATGTGCCACCATTCCCGACTAATTTAATATTTTTAGTAGACATGGCGTTTCTCCGAGTTAGTCAGGCTGGTCTGGAACTCCCGACCTCAAGTGATTCACCCACCTCAACCTCCTAAAGTGCTGGGATTACAGGCCTAAACCACTGTGCCCAGCCCTATTTATGATTTTTCAAGTACTCTTTCTACTTCAAAACCCTGACTTCTCTTTCCCCCACCAAAAAATGTTAAGTAGCGCTCTCCTTTATCCTTTATTCTCTGTCTACATTCACTGTTTGTTTGAGATGAAGTCTCACGATGTTGCTCAGGCTGGTCTCAAACTCATGGGCTCAAGCCATCCTCCCACCTCAGCCTCCCGAGTAGCTGGGATTATAGGCATGAATAACCACACCAGTTCTTCTCTCTCTACATTCATTACCACCATAGATTGTTTTTTTGTTTTGTTTTGTTTTTTGAGACAGAGGCTCTCTCTGTTGCCCAGGCTGGAGTACAGTGGCATGATCTTGGCTCACTGCAATCTCTGCTTCCTGGGCTTAACTGGTTCTCATTCCTCAGCCTCCAGAGTAGCTGAGACTACAGGCATGCACCACCACACCCGGCTAATTTTTGTATTTTCAGTAGAGACAAGGTTTCACCATGCTGG